AAAAAATAGAAATAAAAACATTATTTTTTTCTTAAAATTATAATTTTTAAAACGATACGTAACGTACTTTGTTCCAAAAGAGTAGACACCAGATTTACGTAGTAGCAAAACCAGTTTTAGCTGTGGTCGCTTATGGTGTCTTTTCTTTTGGTAACAAGGTATAGGTAATAATGAACTAGTATCGTATAAAAGAGTCTTGATATTTCTCTTAACAGTTTGAAATCTTTTTTAAATTTTAATGCAATAATTTTGATGCTATAGTCGGTACTGACTATAAATTACAAAATAAATACGGTATAGCGCCACTGATTTATCGCTATATTCACTAGAATCTTTATAGATAGATACTACGATTTTCGGTGTTCTCAATAATAATCACTTAACAAACGTGCCTATCTTYGGTTTGAGTATTTACTCAATATGTGGGTGTAAGTCCATGTAATATATACATATTTTATTCAACAGTCAATATAACCACATTTATTTAGCATAGTTAATAAAAACTATAAATGTTTGACATTTTTACAATCGCAAGTGATTCATATAATATAAAATTGTGAATAATTTATAATATCCATAACGAATATTGTACAAAAAGAAAACGGGAAAATATTTCACGAATATTTTAAAAATATGTGATTTATTAAGATACAAAGTAAATACCATAAAAAATTTATATTACTATATATTATGTCATAAATAACTTTTCACTCTAAAATTATCCGATTATTTTCCTCTTTTCGATAATAACCGTTAATAAAACACTGTAACGAATAACGAAAAATAAGCAATAATGGACAGATAACGTCTGATAGTATGATCTAAGTTACCCTTRGTTAACCATTCAAAAACCTATTTCAGTATTGAAAGGCAGTTTATTTCAAAAMTAACAAAAATATAATTTGTAGATAACAACCAATGTCAGATCCTAATCGTACAAATTAACGTTACGTAATATACGAGTGTTTCATGATATGCTATTGTGCAGCGTTGGGTGCAGATTAACAGAAACATTGACAAAAAGTTGCATTCAGTTGCATAGCCGCAATTAGGTGGGGGCTAGGAGGGGCTTATGCAATTCTAGCCCAAAAAAAAAAGAAAGAAAATTGACCCTAGTTGCGCTTATGTTCAGTTGACAGTGCTTTATCGGGTTGTTCAAAAATAGGTACCGTGTTCAATAATTGGGTACCACTGACGGAACCAACAGCACCGGTTAATTATTTTAACACATTTTTACATGTTGTAGTAGATACGTATTTCTTACTGTGTCACCTCAATAGATCCATACCTACTTGGGCTACTTCAGCCACTTACATATTACTATACTATTTGCAGAAGTAGGAAAAGGTGTACCTAATACAACCGTTCATCTGAGTCGGATGTAGACACTTACTGCACTCGGTATACATATAATAATAGTGTGGTCTTACTACTCTTACTATATAGTGTAAATATGATAAATATCTGACGGAGAGGAGCTAGAAATATCAATTAGTCCGTATAAACATAATTTATTATACTGACGAAGTGAAGTTGTGAAATATTGGAGTATAGGCCACATCCCAATTTGCGCATATAATCTCTTGATTTTTACGTTGCAACAATTATTTTAAATAACCAGCTATAAGTTTATCAAATCATCATCACGTCATATTTAAATGTTAGTATCCAATTATATTCTTATCGGTACGACGGTACCTGTGTAAATTGTAGACTATTTTTTACGTTTTCATAAACATAAATTCAGTTTACACGTACAGATTATAATATCTTCTGTTTCTGTATAATCATGTATTCGTTTCTATATTAACTAGAGTGTTTATATGCCGTATTAAAAAAATATATACACATACATAATTTTCAAACACCAATTTCTCACAAATATTACCGACGGACGTATTATTTTGATATTTAAATTGTAAAGATATACAAACATTGAGTATACATAGTTTTAACCTTTATATAGCATGAACAGTAAGTAAAGACATACAATATATAGCAATTATATCTCGTTTCAAAAAACAGAATTATGTACACGGTAGATGCTGTTAAAAAAAACGACGGAGATGATTCATACAGACGTCGACTGACCCGGCAAGTGTCTATGCACACTCTAAATGGCTTTAACGAACTCCGGCTGAATGCCAAACTCTGCGACGCGTCGTTGATACTAGATAACGGAGATACATTCCCGATACATCGATCKGTGTTGAGTGGTTCAAGCGATTACTTTAGGTCAGTACCAAAAACCCACCCGATGCACTAAACATAATACTCTTTAATTACAAGACAAGGTCGCTGTAATAAAACATTTCGTAGTTGAGCAGTTCATATGTTTGGTGACGCTTTATTCAATTAAAGTTTATTATGACACAATATAGGTAATCTGGTTTAAAACAATACATTAGTACTATAGAAGCGTTAATCAAATTAATAGATATTAACAATATTGTGTCAGATTCAATAACATTTTTATCTCTTTAAACACACCTCTGCACCTTTACAATATATTATTACCTAAAAAACCAACTCTGATTTACATGCCCAATATACCAATAAGAAGTAGATTAACATAGCCTTTAAAACAATACACGCAATTAGTATGGGCGAATGTAAGTTCCCACACGAAAAAAAATTATACCGATTACAAACTTCCTTCTCACTTTTTTCAGACTTAGGACTGACAACTTTAACGTAGTTGGTGTGGTTAGAATTTGTTTGTTTTTGTGTTGCATAAAAAAGGCTCAATCAATTTTTTAATTGAATCTATTCCAAATATATAATGAAAATTAATAATATAATGTGTAGGTATGGTCCACATATTATTTGTATATGGGTATATAGGTATAAAATAATAAAAGTTGTTATAATAGCATTTTTTCTAAAATCAATGATAATAGTAGTAGAAAAAAATTAAATTTTTTTTGGCTTATTGCGAAAGCTCAAGTACTTTACATAATTACATAGCTAGTTCTGATACAAGTCTTACTATAAACGCTTGTGAAAGTACAAATAATATCTGGACCATATACTTACACAGTATATAATTAATTTTTATTATATATTTTGACAAGATTCAAAAAATTGATTGGACTTTACAAAAGACTTTACATATACAAAAACCATCAAATTTTAACTACGTTTAAGTTGTCAGAAGTGGCGTAATTACGGGGGGTATTTGAGTGTCGTATCCCCCCACACCTTTTTTTTTTAAGACTGAATAACTACATTCACCTATGTACTTCTTTATCTAATAATATTATTATTATTATATATATATATATATATTGAAATCAAATATCTCGGCGAATTAATATTATTATAAATAGTCTATATTTTATGCTTTATAGATATAATACAAAAAAAACAAATCCTTTATGCTAGTTGTACATAAATACTTCGTACCTAGTTCGTTTTAAATGTAGCCATGCAAGTTTATAAGTATCACTATTGCAATATGAATAATATGTTTTGTGTAAGTTTTGAGTTTGTTTATGCATTGTGTAGTGGTACAAAAATAAACCACCGAGCAGTAAAGTATTATTTTATCGTTGACCGACGACGCTCGACGATTATCAGGTTATTTTATCTAGATTAAAGACTATTGTCATATCTATCCTATTTTATCCTATCCTACTATTTTTCCGTAGTCYTATTGAACTAAAAATAACTTATCGATTTGTACACTTAATTGGAATTTATTCCATGTCTCATGTGTACATAAATATATTGCTCTAAATTCTGAATAGTGCTTATAATAAATACTTTTTATTTTTTATTTTTTTTTTGGGGGGGGGAGGGTATAGGTAAAATGTTAAAACATTTTATCCCCCCCCCCCACAAACATGGCCAAATTACGCCACTGGTTGTCAGTCCTAAGTCTAAATTTATTTAATTTTCATGTGGGAACTTACATACGGGTGGTGTAATTTTTTTCGTGTGGGAACTTACATGTAGCCGCTTACCTGCTATGTTTCGTGTGGGAACTTACTAAACTCCGTTAGTATTGGGTAATTATCGAAATAACTCCATATGTACCTACCGTCTGGTTACAATAACCATAATAATTTATAGTGTTTATTTTATTATAATATGACAAAAGTAATATTAAATTAATTTTGATTTAATAATTATATATTGTTTCAATTCAAATTTCGTTATTATTTTTGTTTTACTAAAACTCTGATACTTATCTATGAATAGCACATACCTATAGATTATAAATTGTCATCACTTTATAATAAATTAATAGTACTAAATAATGATATGAAATTAGTAACAAATTTATTAGCCAGGTATATTTTATAAATTTTTGTAAGTAGTAAGTTATTTAAAAAAATTTTATTACTTTATTGAGATAGTTTATTTTTTAAGGTTTACCAAACTTGACTATTAAAACTATCACTCAACCATACCAAATCTCTGTAACTCTTACAGTTTTTTTTGTTACTAACCTATGAATCAACATTATTTTGTAAGTTCTAGAAATATTATAGATGCCTACTCACTACTACTACTATTATCTTTTTAATAAAAAATCGCCTCCTCTAGAAATGATGATGTATTTTTTTTCTAGAATAATAACATTAATACAATAGCTATTATATAAGGACAATTATTATTGTGTAGTGAGAAATTGCTTATTTTAATGCAATAATTAACTTAGAAGTATCAAGTATGATACTTTAATGTTTAATCGTTTATTGTACTTGATATTTTTTTAGAATACTCTTCACTACTACGTTGCACGAAGGAGATTACACGAAAATAAACCTAAAATCAATTGATAGTACTACGATGGAATTTATTTTGCAGTATATTTACATGAGACAAATTGATATAAACTATGAAAACGTAATGGATACCATGCGAACAGCTGGTTATTTGTGTATAGACGGTTTGGTGCAACTCTGTCTTGAATTTGTCGTTGAGTGTTTAGGACCTGACAATTGTGTATCTGTATTGCAATTTGCCGAGTATGTGTAAACATACTAAAAAAAAAAAAATACCACCATAATCCCACGGAATCATGTTACTATTTAGATTAATACCAACAATATTCCTTTTAATAAAAATAATAATAATCTGGCAGCTACTATTACTTTGGAGAGTTGACAAATGCGGCGTACAAATACATCATCAAAGAATTTATGACCATAGCGGAACAAGGCGACGAGTTGATGAAACTCCGAAAGGAAGAATTTAAAGTAATAATCGAAGATAATCAGTTGAATGTGAAACGGGAAGAGTGTGTTTGGGACGTGCTACTGAAATGGGTGGACAAGGATCCTGAAAATAGGAAAAACGATTTGTTGTTTCTTCTGCCTAAAGTCCGTTTTGGCCTCATGGACTCCAAATATTTCATCGAGAACGTAATTATAACATATTGTGTTACTGTATACATAGCGATCGTCCATGTGATACTTGTTTCTGCCAAATAATATTAAATGTTTTACCACAGCGTGTTATTTCCAACAAGTTTGGAAGATAATGAGCATTTTTAATTCACAATTTATTATACGCGCATAATTCACTTAAAAACTGAATTATTGTAAAAAACCTTCCATCAAAATACAGATAATGTTCTTATCAACAAGTTGCCGACCATTGCTATAGAGTAATGCCAATATATACCTTATCGTTTCCATCATATATAATATATTATATTATGGGCATATGGACATATATAGCCATATTATACGAGTAGGTTTTATAAGATAATAATATTAATTTGTATTTGATTAATGTAATATGTTATAACATTATTTCCTATTGTTTTCTTTTATTATTTTTTCACACAATAGTAAGTAATAATGTAAAAAGACTACTGGTCGAAAAGGGGTTCTCCCTATTATAAGAAAACCGTAGAAAATTATGCCCTGCCATGACGGCGGTTATATGGCTAACACAGTAAGTTATCTCTTGAGCGTTGTATATGTCTACACATTTCCGTGAGACGTCCTCTGAACTAATTTATCTAGTATCTAAACACAACATCTAATCTCATACACGTTTGAGTACTCGTTATACAACAATAGCTATTATTGTATTTTCCTAATAATCAAAAAAATTAACTTTATTATTACCCAGGGGCGGACTGGCAGGGTGGGTAAGTGGCCATACCCACCCAGGCCCTCTAGACATTTTATGTTTGGGTCTCGAGCTATATTTGTTATGTTTAATAATTTTTCAATTCCACACAGTAATCATTCCCACGCAAACGAAGACTAGGTACAATATTACAATACGTACTATTTACAAAAATTAAGTAACTGGAAGAATCAGACTACAGCCGCGTAGGCGATGAAAGTTTTTTAAATTCATTTTTGGAATATGTGTAATTTATTAATTTTTTTTAAACAATAATAGTAATTAGTATTAAAAATAGTATTTAAATTAAAAACAATACATTTATTTTTGAAATTTTTTATTTTATTTGTATTGAATAAGATTTAAGATTTTAATATTGAAGTAACTTCTTTTTTTATTATGTGGAACTTGGTTGTATAAAAAAATTTTAGATTCTGAGCGGAGCGATGAATGTATTGATTTTACCATGATGTGTGTGTTTTTTTTTTTGT